CCTTTCCCTTTCCGGTGGTCGCTAATAGCAGGGACAGTACAAATAGGGGGATGGGGAACCACATGGGTAATAATAATCCAGGCGGTAATAAGCGTTTCAGCCACGACAGTCAGAAAGTTCGTAAAGTGCGGAGTCTTAAAGTGCAACACAATCAACAATACATCTGCGTGCCGTTGGGGCAAATTCATAAAGTGCAAGGATCTTAAAGTGCGACAAATACCCGACTCTGACTCTCAGCGCTAACTAGGATGCGGCATAGAGGGTAGGAAAAGGGGCGTAAGTGCTAGTGCAATTTAGCAGCCAGTAGACAGGCGCCTTAAAGTGCTATATTACGTTCTTAATACCAATTTACGGCAGAAGGCAGACAAGGAACGTACTATGTTGGTAATATGTAAACACACTATTAAGAGGTTGTCAGCAAGTAACAATTAGGTAAATATATTATGATTCAAGGTGTAATCTATGGACGGCTGATGTTAGAAAGCGGACAGATCTTCAATCTTCCGGAGATGGTTAACACGGCGGTGGTCAGCGCGATTGGTCTATCACAATATCGATCAACACAGAACAAAGGATAGCACCAGAAGGTCTACACAATATCGGTCAGCACAAAAGGTCAACACAAAGCGATGTCAACACAAAGAGGTCTACACATTGCTTGCCCAACAGGTGGTGGGAGAAGGTAAAGGCGATGTTAGAGGTGATGTTAGGCCCGATGGTGGGTGCCTTATGCAGGCCAGATGGAGAGGTCCAGCCGGAAGGACCGTCGATAAAGGCTTAGCCAGACGGTGCCCGCAGCGCAGCAGCCTGCGTAGTAGGCCCAGGCTCGCGTGGTCGCGTAGGCCCAGGCTCGCGTGGTCAATCCAGGCGGCAGAGGTCCCGGCTGGGGTGGCGTTCGCGGCGGCGTTCGCGGCAGCGGCAGCCCCCGGCCGCCTTAATCGGCTACAGCGGGGGGCGAGGGAGAGAGGAAGGTCCAGATGGCAGAAATGGCCCAGGCCCAGATGGTCTCGGTGGTCCCAGCGCCGGCCGCTACGGAGTTTCGGCTCACTCCTACCTGCCCCTCCCAAGGGAGCAGGTGGCTCTAGGCGATGATGGTGATCCGCCCCAACAAGGCCTCCCTCTAGCAGCTACCTCTTCCCGGCCGCAAGATCACAAGGTCCAAAAGCGGCAAGATGGCGACGCCCAGCGGAAGCACGGTAGCAGTCGGCAGCCGGCAGTGGCCTAGGCGGCACCAAGGGGGTCCACCAGCGGGCCCCAAAGCGCAGCAGCCCTGTGTGGTAGGCCCAGGCGCAATCGTGTGGCAAGTCCCGGCGGCAATGGCCCCGGCCGGGGGCGGCGCCCGCGTCAGCGGTAATCTCAGAGGCCCAAGCAGCAGAGGCCCCCACCTCGGACGGCGCTCGCGGCGGCGGCCTTAATCGGCTTCCAGCGGGGGGGCGGGGGGTAGGAGGCCCAGATGGTCCCAATGGTCCTAGTTCACTCCTCCCAGACGCAAAACCACAAGGACCAACAGCGGCAAGATGGCGGCGCACTGCAGAGGCTCGGCAACAGCCGGCAGTAGCCTAGGCGGCAACAGGGGTCCACCAGCGGGGACCTCAGCGCCGGGCACAAGCAAATGGGATGATCCAAGGGGCTGCCGACCTCAGCAAGTAGATTCTTTGCGAAGGGCGAAGGGAGCAGGCCGAGTTGTAATGGCGGCGCTCCTTACCTCGTCCGCCTTCCTGGTCCTTTCTCTCAGCTTCTTTTTTCTCGGCTCCTTTGGCTCTTTCAAGCTCTCTTTTGGTCACTAACGTGACCGTAGCAAGTGTTGAACTCACCCCTCCTCAATTTGGTGGTCAGGGAGGGAGGATTCTCTAGGATTCCCTAGGATTGTTCTTTTTGTCAGCGCAGCTCAGCAGCGTTGCTGCTGCTGACCGCCATACCCCCATGTTTTCTTGGCAACATGGGGGGCTTCCTGAGTTGTGCTGGTGCTGATGGAACCAGAATGCAGCCTCCCTGCAATGGCGACACTTTCCTCATGTGACTGGTAAAGTGTCACCCCAAAAAAGATTCGGCCTACTGCTCCCTCTTTTCTCCTCAGAAGTCCGACAAAGCAAGGCCCTTTGCCAGGGCTTTATTATGAGGTCACAAGAGATGTATGGCATCTCTTGTCTGTCATGTTTTCAATTTACACTGTAATTGTTATAACTTTTTCTTTGGCCAAATGCCAAATGGGGGTGTATAAACATGGTAACACCCTAGAGCAGGTCTACACAACCTGTGACCCTCCAGGTCTGCCCTAGAGGATATAGAGTGTATTTTCCCTTTAAAAACTTTCCAAAAAATTGGGGGTGGGAACATAAGAGTCTCTGTGGAGAAGTGATTTTTCCCATCCTTGATTCAAGCAAAAAAGCAGCCTGTAAACAGCTACAGTTCATCATAAAGCATTACTTCATAGAGCTGCAACTGTGTTATTCAAATAGACAATATAAGGAACATATCTAAAGTAATTGGACAAGTTTATGAAAATGTATAAATTCAATCAAGATTGTCTGCAGTTGATGTCACAAAGTTTTCAGGAATAAATTACTGCAGCCAACTGAAGTATATGTTCTGATGAACAATAAGCAAGACAGTCCATCTACTTATATAAAAAGTGGTCTACAAAAAAAAAGGTTAGTGCTGAGGAATTTAATAAAACATTTTAAAACAAGCACCAGAGGAAGAGAAAGCCAAGTCCCTTCTGAATAAACCTTGCCCAGAAAATGCCAGGAAAGAGTCATCATAAGTCAGAAATGACTTGAAGGCACGTAATAACAACAGCAATATTATGGGCATGCACTGAAAAGGATTAAAAACTACGTTTATTGCTATCTAGTTAAAGAATGGATAGTATGACCTTATTCCTCCAGTACTACTCCAGCTGCACTGGCTTTGGTCATTTTTGAAGTCACATTCAAAGCACTGTTGTTGACTGAAAGCCTTTCAGAGCTTAGGCTCACAGAGGACTCCCTGCCTCCACATATACCTAACCATTTGACAATATCTCTGATGAAGAACCTCCTGCAGGGGTCTACATCCCCAGAGATGACTGGCACCATGCCAGTTATGGACAGTTTGATAGTACTTTTGGTTCTGTGCAGATTTTTAAAATCTTTTGGAATAGAATTTTAACCATTATGCATTCATCTTTGAATTTGTTTTATTCCTTTTGTTAACTACTCTGGGTGGTTATAAAATGTGCTGGCATATCTACGCAGCAAGGAGTGTCCCTTATTGGGAGAAAGCAGATAATTATAATATAATCATGGAACTTGTATAAAATCACAAACTAAGCCAGTCTTCTTTACCACTATCTTGTGACCAAAAAAGAACTCAATTTCCTTTGAAAACTTGTAAATGTTTTCCATTACCAGAACTGTTCAAACAAGTCTTACTCTGAACCCTTCCTATATTTGCAAATATAGATTTAAGAATAAAGCCATAAAAGGAATATCAGCCCCCCCCCCCAAAAAAAAACCCCGAATGGGGACAAAACATTTAGGTGCATTACATTAGTAGCCGCACTACTCTATCATGATGAAACAATGGAGAATGCAAGCAAACAAAATTTTCTGGCCAGAATTAGCCAATAGCTCAAAATTTTTGTTTCCTTTATAAACACTATATCTGTGACCACTTTCTTTCTGATTATTCTACGTACACAGGAATAGTTAGCTATACCAGCGTTTAAGTACCAAAACAGCCATTTTGTTTAGGCATTCTTAGTGCAGTGCACCTGGAAAACAGAGAGGTGATGAATAATTGCTTCAAATAAATAAATAAATTTTAGAGAGTTTATACAGCATATGCTCACTGGTAGCAATTAGGTGCTCCAGCTGGCAAAAGCAGGCATTAACGGGAGGGTCTGTTTTGAGAACAAAGCAGTGAATGCTAATGAGAAAACCATTGAAGTGTAAACAAGAGTCTAAAAAAGTTCTCACTTTCAGATACCTATGCATGCATTGTGCAGGGTATGATCTCATTTAAGTATCCAATGGACTTTTGGGAATAGAAAGAGATGTACTACTGTAGACTTATGAAAGGCTGCACTGAGCAGGAGGCTGGACTAGGTGATCCTTGAGGAGCCTTTCAACACCAAGTTACTATATGAAAGCAGATTCAAAATCTTGATCAGTAACAAGGAAGACTTTGCTGAGTAACATCAGTTTCAGAGATATGTTTGGTGAGGACATAGGAAGGGGCTTTCTTCAAAGGAGGACATAAATCCCCCAAAAAAAGTTTACTTAGAGACCAGAGACCCAAAGAGCCCTGAATCCACTCCCAAGAATATCAGAATGTGCCCTATAGGTTCCAAAATTCATTTCCCGATTCCCTGCAAAATCCCTCACATTTTCAGGAACAGCTCAGACATCTTGTGGAGTTGTTTGGATATCAGATTTTCATTTCATGCTATCAATTTCTTAGGGAAGATTATATACAAGCTTACACTTAAGAAGCTTATGCTCAAGAGGAGAAAATTTGATCTCTGATCTGGAAGGGCCCTCTGTATTGTCAAACCAGACTGTGAGACAGAATGGGGTTTTTAAAGATTAGAAATGTAAGAGGCATAGGGAAATCCCAGTTCTATCCATTAAATCTCCCATTCATAAATTACTTTCTTAGTCACAACTACTTCATTCTTGTCTCATTTCTTTCTCTCCTGGTCTAGGAATTATTTCCTCTCATAACCTAAACAGCATCTCTTGGCAAGTTGTGCCAACGAAGCCCTATTCTGCTGGCACTCAATCATTGCTAATAGAGGGAATTATGACATTTGCCCAATATCAAGTCCCTTTTTAAAACTATTTCTAAAATAAATTCCAAATATTTTTTAGAATCAAGTGAGTAGTTAAAAAGCTGTTGAAAACATGACCGATCACAGCCCAGGAGAATTCACTTTGTAAATGATGATAAATCCCAAATTTCATATAAAAAATGTTCAATGTTAGACATGGTGTTTCAAGGGAAATATAGACACTTACTGTTCTAGAATCTGAGAATGGATTGTACTCATCTAATCCTGGAGGTGCATTTCTTGTCACTTGTGTAACCGAAGGATCCTAAATAGAGAGAAAATTAGTGGTTACAGGAAGCATGCAATTGCACACTATACATATTAGCACTAAAATTATGAAGTCTGCAATCTTACACATAAACTTCCTGTTAATAAGACGCCTTGAGCCCCAGGATACTTTCCTGATGGGGTTATCCTGATATTCTCAAACAAAGGAATTTCAAAGGAAAATTCAATTGTGAAAATAAAAGTCAAGGAATTCATTTCTATACCTGAAAATTACCATAATTCTAAGCTTTCATTATCAATATCTGGATATCTGGCATGTCCCTTTTTTGCCAACTCATAATTACATTCTTTGCATCTGAAGAAGCTGACTCAATTCCTCCAAAGTCTGTGCCTTAATAAACATGTTCATCTACAGCATTCTACAACAGATTAACTTGGCAACCTTTTCTAGAAACTGTCCGTATGTTTCTGTAATTTTTAGGTTAACATTTGACACCAAAATACTAAGCCAATATAAATGCTCTCTCCAGCAAAGGATCACCGCCTTGTCGGGGCGCTGGAGCTTGAGCACCTCAATAATGTCATGAGCGAAACCGTGAAGGGACACCCAAGACGGGACGGTTGTGGCAGAGAGGTCAGACCAAGCGTGATCCCTGGGGAAGGCAATGGCAAACCACTCCAGTATCCTTGCCAATAAAACTAAATGGACCAGTACAACCAGAGATATGTCGGTATGCCATTGGAAGATGGGACTCCCAGGTCGGAAGATGGCCAAAATGCTACTGGGGAGGAGCAGAGGATAAGTTCAACTAGCCCCAGATGTGATGACGCAGCTAGCTCAAAGCCGAAAGGAAGGCTAGCGGCCGACGGTACTGGAGGCGAACGACGAATCCGATGCTCTAAAGATCAACACACCATAGGAACCTGGAATGTAAGATCTATGAGCCAGGGCAAATTGGATGTCAAGACTAAAGATGTCAAGACTAAAGATAGACATTCTGGGGGTCAGCGAACTGAAGTGGACTGGAATGGGCCACTTCACATCAGATGACCACCAGATCTACTACTGCGGACAAGAGGAACATCGAAGAAATGGAGTAGCCTTCATAATTAATAAGAAATTCGCTAAAGCGGTGCTTGGATACAACCCAAAAAATGACAGAATGATCTCAATTCGAGTGCAAGGAAAGCCTTTCAACATTACAGTGATCCAAATATACGCCCCAACCACAGCTGCTGAAGAAGCAGAAGTAGATCAGTTCTATGAGGATCTGCAGGACCTACTGGATAATACACCAAAAAGAGACATTATTTTCATTACAGGAGACTGGAATGCCAAGGTGGGAAGTCAAATGACAACTGGGATCACAGGCAAGCATGGTCTGGGAAACAAAATGAAGCGGGAAGCAGGCTGATAGAATTTTGCCAGGAAAACTCGCTGTGTATAACTAATACTCTCTTCCAACAACCTAAAAGACGGCTTTATACATGGACCTCACCAGATGGTCAACACCGAAATCAGATTGACTACATCCTTTGCAGCCAAAGGTGGCGGACCTCCATCCAGTCGGTGAAAACAAGACCTGGGGCTGACTGTAGCTCAGATCACGAACTTCTTATTGCTCAATTTAGAATAAAACTAAAGAGATCAGGGAAAATACACAGACCAGTTAGATATGATCTCACTAACATTCCTAGCGAATATACAGTGGAAGTGAAGAACAGATTTGAAGGACTAGATTTAGTAAACAGAGTCCCAGAAGAACTATGGACAGAAGTCCGCGACATTGTTCAGGAGGCGGCAACAAAGTACGTTCCAAAGAAAAAGAAAACCAAGAAGGCAAAATGGTTGTCTGCTGAGACACTGGAAGTATCCCAAGAAAGGAGGAAAGCAAAAGGAAACAGGGATAAGGGGAGATATGCCCAGTTAAATGCGCAATTCCAGAGGTTATCCAGAAGAGATAAGGAACTATTTTTAAATAAGCAATGCATGGAAGTGGAAGAAGACAACAGAATAGGAAGGACAAGAGACCTCTTCCAGAAAATTAGAAACATTGGAGGTAAATTTCAGGCAAAAATTGGTATGATAAGAAACAAATATGGCAGGGACCTAACAGAAGCTGAAGAGATCAAGAGAACGTGGCGAGACTATACAGAAGGTCTGTATAGGAAGGATAATAATATTGAGGATAGTTTTGACGGTGTGGTGAATGAATTAGAACCAGACATCCTGAGGAGTGAGGTTGAATGGGCCTTAAGAAGCATTGCTAACAACAAGGCAGCAGGAGACGACGGGATCCCAGCTGAACTGTTTAAAATCTTAAAAAATGATGCTGTCAAGGTGATGCATGCCATATGCCAGCAAATATGGAAAACACAAGAATGGCCATCAGACTGGAAAAAATCAACTTATATCCCCATACCAAAAAAGGGAAATGCGAAAGACTGCTCCAACTTCCGTGCAGTGGCCCTTATTTCTCATGCCAGTAAGGTAATGCTCAAGATCCTGCAAGGAAGACTCCAGCAATACATGGAGCGAGAGTTGCCAGATGTTCAAGCTGGGTTTAGAAAAGGCAGAGGAACGAGAGACCAGATTGCCAATATCCGCTGGATAATGGAGAAAGGCAGGGTGTTTCAGAAAAACATCTACTTCTGCTTCATTGACTATTCTAAAGCCTTTGACTGTGTGGATCATAATAAATTGTGGCAAGTTCTTAGTGGGATGGGCATCCCAAGCCACCTTGTCTCTCTCCTGAGGAATCTGTACAAGGACCAAGTAGCAACAGTCAGAACTGACCATGGAACAACAGACTGGTTCAAGATTGGGAAAGGCGTACGGCAAGGCTGCATCCTCTCACCCAACCTTTTAACTTGTATGCAGAACACATCATGCGATGTGCGGGGCTGGATGAATGCAAAGCTGGGGTGAAAATTGCTGGAAGAAACATTAACAACCTCAGATATGCAGATGACACCACTCTGATGGCCGAAAGCGAGGAGGAGCTGAGGAGCCTTCTAATCAAGGTGAAAGAAGAAAGCACAAAAGCCGGGTTGCAGCGAAATATAAAAAAAACCAAGATTATGGCAACAAGAATGATTGACAACTGGAAAATAGAGGGAGAAAATGTGGAGGCCGTGACAGACTTTGTATTTCTAGGTGCAAAGATTACTGCAGATGCAGACTGTGGCCAGGAAATCAGAAGACGCTTACTTCTTGGGAGGAGAGCAATGTCCAATCTCGATAAAATAGTAAAGAGTAGAGACATCAGACTGGCAACCAAGATCCGCCTAGTCAAAGCCATGGTATTCCCTGTAGTAACCTACGGATGTGAGAGCTGGACCTTAGGGAAGGCTGAGCGAAGGAAGATCGATGCTTTTGAGCTGTGGTATTGGAGGAAAGTTCTGAGAGTGCCTTGGACTGCGAGAAGATCCAACCAGTCCATCCTCCAGGAAATAACGCCCGACTGCTCACTGGAGGGAAAGATACTAGAGACAAAGTTGAAGTACTTTGGCCACATCATGAGGAGACAGGAAAGCCTAGAGAAGACAATTATGCTGGGGAAAGTGGAAGGCAAAAGGAAGAGGGGCCGACCAAGGGCAGGATGGATGGATGGCATCCTTGAAGTGACTGGACTGACCTTGAAGGAGCTGGGGGTGGTGACGGCCGACAGGGAGCTCTGGCGTGGGCTGGTCCATGAGGTCACGAAGAGTCGGAGACGACTGAACGAATGAACAACAACATAAATGCTCTATTTGGAGGAAGAATACATGACCTATTAAGAATTGCAGCAAGGTCCTGTTAAAGTGTCAGTAACACGGAAAGAGTTACTTGCTCAACATCATCATATTTTCAATTTTAGGCAAGATTATATTTGGCATATAAAGAGGAAGAGATTTGTGCTGTCACTCTCCTTATTCTGTAGGTCACCCTCATTTCATCATGATCTGCTTATAAATCTAGATTAACATGATTTGTGAGCTATCCCATCTGTGACACAGATTAGTTATGAAGAGTACTGCTCCTTCTGAGTACATACATGAAAACTCAGTATTCAGCTAAATACTGTCTCTAGGAATCTTAAATATACATCAAATAAGGTTCTGGGAGGCATAAGTCAGCATATTTTACCCAGAAAAAAAATTGTAGTTCAAAATTATCTCTAGATTTTAATGTATCTAGAGTAAGACAGAGTAGTTTTAACATGAGGTATAACTGTTGAATTTCAAGAAAATATAAATATCTGAGATTTTAGAATTAAAGAACTGGGGGTGGGGGGAGAGATAACAGGAAAGTTAGAGACAATCACACATTTGAGGTGGGTTTGTTCTGTCACACCCGCAATCCTTCATAGGATTCAATGCTACTGAATGTAATCCTCTTCTCTTTTAGGTCACAGGCTGAAGTTAAATCACTTGCTTCCTCTTAGTACTCCAGCCCAAACCAACTGAAAAATTTTGCTTGACAGTAGTTCTGTGTTATCAATTCTCTTGGCAATGCATATATGTACAGCCCTTATCCCTACTCATTTTTAGCACAGGGATGAATGGAAAGGTGGGGCAATTTCAACATTATAAAATATATTGCCATTGTGATTCAACACCCACACATGTCTTAATTCCTAGAACATTCGTACAAACACAATATTTTAAAGGAAAGAAAATGAAAGCAAGGAAATTACCCTCCCCCCCCCCCCCAGAACATTCCTTATATTTGTTCTCAAACTAAGACTGAGTTCTCAAACTAAGACTGGAAAGTGGTGTTAAGACTCCAACTCCTAGAACTCTCTGCCACCATTGGTTAGGGATGCCAATGGGATGAACATTAGGAAGAACTTCCTAATTGTGAGAATGTTCAACGGTGGAACTCTCTGCCATTGACTGTGGTATAGGCTTCTTTGGAGGCTTTTAAACAGAGGCTGGATGGCCATCTGTCAGGGGTGCTTTGAATGTGATTTTCCTGCTTCTTGGCAGGGGGTTAGTTTGGGTGGCTCATGAGGTCTCTTCCAACTCTATGATTCTATGATGCTGGGAACTCAA